TTATTTTTAATTAATTAATTATCTGTTTTATAGTGACATTGGTTAATGAAATCCAATAAGTTTCAGCTGTACATTTATAACAGTAAGGCATTTATATATTTACATTGTGTGTTCACCTCCCATAGTTAGATTTATTTTTGCCACCACATATTTATCTCTTTTTACCCATCTACCTCCCCTCTCCCGCCTACACTTTGGTAACCTCACGTATAAGTGAAATCATGTGATTTTCAACGTTTTCTGTCTGGATTATTTCGCTTAGCATGATTATCTCAAGAGCCATCCATGTTGTCACAAATGGCAGTATTTCATCTCTTCTTATGGCTGAGTAGTATGTACCACTGCTTCTTTAGCCAATTATCTTCTATTGTAGACTTTGGTTGCTTCCATGTCCTGGCCACAGTGAATAATGCTGCTATGAACATCGGTGTGCAAATATCTTTTCAGATATGGGTTTTCAAGTCTTTGGGGTAAATAGCCAGTAGAGGGATTGCTGGATCAAATGGTAGATCAATTCTTAGTTTTTTGAGGAACCTCCATTCTGTTTTCCATAGTGGGTGTACCAATTCTGGAAGATTCTTTATTCCCTTCTTCTTGCAGCTAAACTCTAATCATCCTTTACACTCCAGTTTGAAAGCCTTCCCTAATCCCCAGACTAATGGGTGATCCCTCTTCTCTTCACTTATTCTGCACATCTGACACCTTTCCCTTTACTTTTGCTTCCATGGCACTTATCTTACTTGAGATGGAGGGTATGAAGAAAAGGCTTGAGGAGTGAAGGTTCAGAATAGCTGCTATGGCAGTGGGGCGAAAGGGTTAACTATAGAGAAGGAACAAGGTTACTCATTGCCGTGAGCCCAGCTGTATAGGGGATCCCAGTATTGGTATAGGAACTAGTCCGCATGGTTGGTTTATGGCGTTTCCGTCAGCGGCGTTCCACAGCTCAGGAGCAGAACTAGTAAAAGAGACAGTTGGATTGATCTAAGCCAGTAGTTTTCCACCAGTCGTGATTTTGTCCCCAGGGAACACATGGCAATGTCTGAAGACATTTTTAATTGTCACATTTGCAGAAGCAGGGTAGTCTATGGGCATTTAGTAGGTAAATATTCTACAATGCACAGGACAAACCCACACAACCAAGAATTATCTGGCCCCAAATGTCAGTAATCTAAGGTAGAGCAGCCCTGATCTAATCAGTGAACTGAGGAAAAAAATAGATCGTATTGGGATATAGGAGGTCAGAGTACAAAAATCTCCTTCCCCTTGAGAAGGTTGTATCATGAGATCTCATACAGGATTGCTGCTGCTCCACACAGGGCCTCGCACAACTGGGTTTCAACTTCAGAAACCACCAAGGGCTTAGTGATTTATCTCAAAGTATCTATTATCTAATATTATGTGCAGGACCACAGAAACCATAGAGAATATGCAAACATCAGTGGATCAGGGTAAAGTCAATGCAGAATTTGAGGGGAATATTACAATTGCAATGTAAGTTCATATGTTTGTCTATTTACAAATAGATTTATACAAGCAACACTTTTATAATTCTCTCTCCTTTTTTTTGCATTTTAGATGTAGGCCTTATGTATACTTTTGGAGATGGTCGACATGGAAAATTAGGACTTGGAATGGAGAATTTTACCAATCAGTTCATTCCTACTTTGTGCTCTAATTTTTTGAGATTTATGGTTGAATTGGTAAGGGTATCACATTTCCCCGTTTACATTTTCATATTCCTTTATTTGAGCTTTTAAGTATATTATAGAAAATAAGTACTTAAGAATATCATGACTATATCTTCATAAATACACTTGTTTCTTAAAAGCCAAATATCAGACATCATGTCACTCTGAAAATCTGTCCCTTTCCTAATTTTCCTCCCTTAATGTCTTCTTTTGCACCCCAATCTTAACTCTTCAGTTTCATTCTCATATGTCTCTTCAGAGCCATGCCATGCCTAAAAGCTTTGTTACTCCTGTTGCACCCAGCAGAGTGCCTTACTCATATTAGTCATCTGTAAATATTTATTGAATTAGATATTACTAAGACTCTCAAATCCTGTACAAGAAAAAATCTGATAATTAACAAAGAGTTTTGAAAGTATGTTTTATTGGCTAAATGTTACTTGGATAAGAAGGTAGCATTTCAGTGTCATCCCCAGCAGGCATTGTGTTTCTATTGTTTCTAACACTTTTGCCATATAAGAACTATAGACTTGAAAATTCTGTTTCTTTAGAGATGATTATATCACTTGAAATTTGTTCTCCAAAAACTCAGTGCCTCATACTATGGAACATTTTCAGTTCCTTAATATGACACCCACTCAATGAATGCCTGCTGTGTACAAGATACTGAACTAAGTATAGGGAATACAAAACATACAGTGGTGAACAAAATAATTAAATTACCACTCACTGAGCTTATAGTCTTATAGGGAAGATAATTTTTTAAAGCATTATACAAAAATTATAAATTTTAACTTTGAAAATATTATAAAGGAAAGGTTCAGAGCATGCTATTCTTACACCACCATGTACAACAGTATAAAATTGCTAAAAAAAATCTGTGTATTGTAAATACTCCACAATGTTTTTTAAGCACTTTATTGAAAATCAGTTATTTCTCAGAATCCTTTGAATATTGATTTCATTTTTCATTGCTCCATCATTGTGCATGCTTGCATTTTGCTCTAAGGATTTTTAAACATTAAACTTAAAAAATGTTCATATAAAGAAAAAGGCTTGGAGACATAATTAACCCCAGACACTGATTTATTCTTAGATTATTTTTTTCCAAGCAGAACTTCTCTGAGTAATTTTTTCAAGTTGTTAATGTTGTTCTCTGATTAAAATAACATTTTCCAACTTGTAAGGAGAAATGTAATATACCAAATAGTTTTTTCTCTATACTATATCAAATTGAAAGTAAAATGATATGTTAAACTTGTTCTAATTTTTAATCATAGTGTTTAAAGAATATGCAGTTGACACTAGAACAATGCAGGGATTAGGAGTGCTGACCCCATGAAGTAGAAAATCTGTGTATAACTTTTGACTTCCTAAAAACTTAACCTTGGTCATACCTCAGTATCTGCAGGGCATTGGTTCCAGGACCCACCACAGGTACCAAAATTCAAAAATCTTCAAGCCCCTTATGTAAAATGGTGCAGAACAGTGAACTGGCCCTCTGCATCCGTGCATTCCCAACTGTAGGTCAGAAATACTGTTTTTGATCTATGATTGCTTGAATCCACAGATGCAAAACTGGGGAATATGGAGGTTTGACTGTCTTGAAAGAAATCTGCATATAAGTAAACCTATGTAGTTCAAACCGATGTTGTTCAAGGGTCAACTGTATATTGTAATTCACGTGTGTGTGTGTGTGTGTGTTTGTATATAGATATAGATATAGATATAGATAGACATTTACTACAGCTAAGTAAATGTTTTGTAGCTGAAAACTGTTAAAAATCCCTTTGTGTTTGAAGCCAATGTCAATTTATCTGTGGATTTATGCTGCAGGTTGCCTGTGGTGGATGTCACATGATAGTTTTTGCCACTCCACGACTTGGTATAGCAGAAGAAATTGATGAAATGTACAGTCCTCACATACCTGCAGCGGCTTCTCTGCCCATCAGCCATCCGACCTCAGGAAATGTACTGCGTAGAACTTTATCTGCACGAGTGCGACGAAGAGAAAGGGTACAGTTGTGGCCTATTCTAAATAATAATATTGTCTAGTACTGCAAAAAAAACTGGAAGAAAAAATCCATATTTTTTTTTAATCCAAGAAGGGTCTTGTCAGATAAAGTTACTAAATAAAATGATTAGCATCCAGGGCTTACAAACTTCTAAAGGGAACTCAGAGTTAAGCTGTTAACACACACACAAATTTGAAAATTCAAATGATTATGGATAACCTTGGCTTATAGACAGTAAAACTTATCACTGTCTTATCACCTCAGATTGAATGCTGAGTTGTTTTTATAACTGTATATGGATTTACTTCTACTTTGCTTTTATCTGTTAGTTATACCTCATGAACAGTAGTAGAAGGTTATACACTGTAAAGAATGAAACATGGAAAGTAAAATAATAAGGACTTCAGTTTGTGAGAGGGAATGTTATTTTCTCAATTAAACTTAAAGATTCTCACTCTGCGCTTTAAAACTATTTTAATGATACTTATATTTTTTAAAAATGAAATACTTTTTTCAACTTCTTTTTCTTATCACATGATATCACTTATATGTGGGATATAAACCTAAAAGCAACAAATAAACATGGCAAACAAACAGAGACTCATGGACATGGACAATAGACTAGTGGTTACCAGAAGGTAGAGGTGAGGTAGATGGGGTAAAAAGGGTCAAATATGTGGTGACAGAAATCTAACTAAGGCCAGTGAACATACAATGCAAAATATATATGACTTACTGTTGAATTGTACACTTGAAACTTACTGGATTTCATTGGCCAATGTCACATAATAATAAAAAAATAATAAATTAATAAATAAAAAATACCAAAATTTTAAAGGAGATACTCCATTTTAACAAAATTACTTTAAGTTCCAAAACATACTTTTGAGGTAAAAGGTTAAGTTTGGCTTTTTAATGAAAAATTATGTATGGAAAGATTGAGAAATATAAATATTTTGTAGTTGTTGCTTGTTTATGCCTCATGAATAAATTTTTTGTTTCTCAGGGAAGGCAGAGAAAATACACACATACTTTTCCCCATTGTGTGAAAAACAGGTTTCCAAATGGGCAATTTAGAGCCACTTAGATACAGCGCCAACAGAACAAAACATTTTTGAGCCCTTGGTGATTATTAAAAAGTGAATGGTATGGAACGTTGGCCAACTTTGAAGTCTCTCTTAAATATTTTTAGCAACCACAGGGTAGTTGGTGTCTATATTAAATATATAACATCATCTAACAGTTTATTTAACCTTTAATTTTAAAGGAGAAATCCCCAGATTCTATTCAAATGACACAAACACTACCTCCAACTGAAGGGACTCTCGAGCCACCTGTTCATTTTGACCGTGGTTCAGTTCCTTTGTGCATATCTACCAGTAAGCTGCCAGAAAAAACAATAACTAAAGAGGAAGACGCCGTGATGCCCCTGAAACCAGGTAACATCTGATGCTCTGCCTGCTCTCACAAAAATCATACGTTTTATTCCTCTTGTTTCCATGTTTATCTTAAGATGTTTTCTCCAATTAACTTGTTTTCTTCCTAGTTAGAGATTGACATCTCTCATTTGAACTTAAATACAAATAGAAAGCATTTTCTGTGATCCTAAAAATCCCATGTAACAACAGCATCATATCTTTATGGGACATTGTTTAGTATACATAGTACTTTAGCTTACATTATCTCCTTTAAACCCTGAAGCAATTCCATGAATTAGGTGGGAGTTATATTCTTCATTTTCTTTTTTTTTCATTTTCTTAAATGGCTTTCCCCACCCCCCCAGACTTTATTGAAATATAATAGACAATTAGTTTGCCTGTTCATATGAATGAAGCTGTTGTTATCTCATCAGTGTCAAAATCTCCAAACTTTCAAAAAGATATTTTAAAACCTTTTAGCAGTGTGAATGAATTCTGCTCAATTCGCCTAACATGAGGTTAAAGGACCTTCAGTAAAATTATATCTACACTTTATATTACAGAATAATTTCCGTTTATTGTTCAGCTGTCTTTCACTTTTCCTTTGAAATCTGGTTTTCTCTTTTCCCTTTTAATCCTTCAGATTATTTTCA